GCGTCCACCGCGGGTCGACGGCAAGTGCTTGCGCTTCCACATGGCATTGCACCACCCATGTACACGCCGGTTGTTGAGAGTAGGTACTATTGGATTCCCATATCCCAATCTACTTCAAGCGCCTTCCTATTTCAAGAATCGGCATGATTTTGATGTGTTTTGTTGTTCTCTGGGAGGGCCTGGACCCAATCCACTTTATCCGCCTTCTTACTTCATGTTTTGTTGACCTACTTCTTCCGACCGACGCGTGCTCCTGAACGCTCTGCGCAGCATAAGTGCACGCGCGTCTTGACGGCCGCGTCGCGACAGCTCCCCATCAAAGAAGCTACACAAGTCGTCAGCCCTCATTCGGAAAGAACATTACAAGTTCGAACACCGAGCCCGACCTGACAAATTATCCCGGCAAAGCAATCTAACAGCGATGTGTAGGAGCATATCTGGAAGCATTCCCCTTAAGATTCAGATGAGACTCTTGTTGTAGAATTCTGTTGTTCTCGCAGTCGTAGTCGCATTCGCGATGGCAGTCGCAGTGGCAACGGCAGTCGTAGTCACAGCCTCAGCCTCAGCCTGCCTCAGCCTCAGCCTGCCTCAGCCTCAGCCTGCCTCAGCCTCAGCCTCAGCCTGCTTCAGCCTCAGCCTCACATCAGCCTGCCTTCAGCCTCGGCCTCAGCCTCAGCCTGCCTCAGCCTCACCCTGCCTCAGCCTCAGCCTCAGCCTCAGCTCAGCCTGCCTCAGCCTGCCTCAGCCTCAGCCTCAGCCTGCCTCAGCCTCAGCCTCAGCCTGCTTCAGCCTCAGCCTCAGTCTGCCTTCAGCCTCGGCCTCAGCCTCAGCCTGCCTCAGCCTCAGCCTGCATCAGCCTCAGCCTCAGCCTCAGCCTGCCTCAGCATCAGCCTGCCTCAGCCTCAGCCTCAGCCTGCCTCAGCCTCAGCCTCAGCTGCTCAGCCTCAGCCTCAGTCTGCCTTCAGCCTGCCTCAGCCTCAGCCTGCCTCAGCCTCAGCCTGCCTCAGCTCAGCCTGCCTCAGCCTCAGCCTCAGCCTCAGCCTCAGCCTGCTTCAGCCTCAGCCTCAGTCTGCCTTCAGCCTCGGCCTCAGCCTCAGCCTGCCTCAGCCTCAGCCTGCCTCAGCCTCAGCCTCAGCCTCAGCCTGCCTCAGCCTCAGCCTGCCTCAGCCTCAGCCTCAGCCTGCCTCAGCCTCAGCCTCAGCCTGCTTCAGCCTCAGCCTCAGTCTGCCTTCAGCCTCGGCCTCAGCCTCAGCCTGCCTCAGCCTCAGCCTGCCTCAGCCTCAGCCTCAGCCTCAGCCTGCCTCAGCATCAGCCTGCCTCAGCCTCAGCCTCAGCCTGCCTCAGCCTCAGCCTCAGCCTGCTTCAGCCTCAGCCTCAGTCTGCCTTCAGCCTCGGCCTCAGCCTCAGCCTGCCTCAGCCTGCCTCAGCCTCAGCCTCAGCCTCAGCCTGCCTCAGCATCAGCCTGCCTCAGCCTCAGCCTCAGCCTGCCTCAGCCTCAGCCTCAGCCTGCTTCAGCCTCAGCCTCAGTCTGCCTTCAGCCTCGGCCTCAGCCTCAGCCTGCCTCAGCCTCAGCCTGCATCAGCCTCAGCCTCAGCCTCAGCCTGCCTCCTCAGCCTGCCTCAGCCTCAGCCCTCAGCCTCAGCCTCAGCCTCAGCCTCAGCCTCAGCCTGCCTCAGCCTCAGCCTGCATCAGCCTCAGCCTCAGCCTCAGCCTGCCTCAGCATCAGCCTGCCTCAGCCTCAGCCTCAGCCTGCCTCAGCCTCAGCCTCAGCCTGCTTCAGCCTCAGCCTCAGTCTGCCTTCAGCCTCGGCCTCAGCCTCAGCCTCAGCCTCAGCCTCAGCCTGCCTCAGCCTCCTCAGCCTGCCTCAGCATCAGCCTGCCTCAGCCTCAGCCTGCCTCAGCCTCAGCCTCAGCCTGCTTCAGCCTCAGCCTCAGCCTGCCTCAGCCTCAGCCTCAGCCTCAGCCTCAGCCTCAGCCTCAGCCTCAGCCTCAGCCTCAGCCTGCCTCAGCATTCAAAATGTGGCCGGGAATGGAGTTCTGGGAACTCGAAGAACACGAAGTGGCCTACAGTTGGCTCCGGGCATTCAAAATCATGCCCAGGAATGGAGTTCTGGGAACTCGAAGACCACGAAGTGGCCTACAGTTGGCTCCAGGCATTCAAAATGTGGCCCGGGAATGGAGTTCTGGGAACTCGAAGAACACGAAGTGGCCTACAGTTGGCTCCGGGCATTCAAAATGTGGCCCGGGAATGGAGTTCTGGGAACTCGAAGACGACGAAGTGGCCTAAAGTTGGCTCCGGGCATTCAGAATGTGGCCCGGGAATGGAGTTCTGGGACCTCGAAGACCACGAAGTGTGTAACGGTTGGCTAAAAAAAAGTCCCCGGCACCCTCCCCCGGATCGCGCCCAGACCCCCTTGGGGCGTCATGATGCTCTCTTTTGACCCTGCTAAAAACCTATCAGTCTTCGCTGTTAGGTAACCAGAACTATTGCACAACTCGTCGGCTCCCAATCAAGAGAAGCTGCGCAAGTCGCCAGTGCTCAATCAGAAAGGTTGCGCAAGTTCGAAAACCGAGCATGGCCCGACGAAGCGAGAACGGTTGTACAACTCGCCACTTCGTCATCCAAAAGCCTCACAAGTCGTCAATTCTCAATCAACAGAGTTGCACCATTTGAAAACCGAGCTGGGCCTAATAAGAACGAGACAGTTTGCACAACTCATCGGTTTTCAATCAAAAACGCTGCACAAGTCGTGAGTCCTCGATCAAAAAAGGTTCAAAAGTTTGAAAACCGAGCCCGTTGCGACAAAACGAAAACAGTTGCACAAGTCGTCGGTTTCCAATCAAACATCTGTGCAAGTCATCCGTTCTCAAGCAAGAAGTTTGCACACGTTCGAACACCGAGGCCGATCTGACAACGCAGAAACCTGCTGCACATAATGACCGGCGGTCCCCCATCATACAAGCTGCACAAGGCGTCTTTTCTCAATCAAAGAGGTTGCACAAGTTCGAGAACCGAGTCCGTCCAGCCAAAACGAAAAAAAAGGTAGCTCAACTCGTCGCTTCCCAATCACAGAAGCTGCACGGGCGTCGAATCCCAGTCACAAAAATTGCACGAGCTTGAAAACCGGGCCCAACACGACAAGGCAAGAAAAGGTTGCACAACTCGGCGTTCCCCCCCAAAGGTGGTACAGATCACCAATATCAAACGGAAAGGTGGCAGAAATTCGAAGACCAAATGCCTGGCCGCGCACGCCGGTGAAGTTGGACCATTTATTGGCCCGGTATTATGTCATTTTTTTGAGTTTGCAAATTAAAACTTAAATCGACGGTGGGTTTACAGCCCAGACCAGACTATGTTGGGTTGTCATGATATTTTCAATGTTCTGAGGGTGTCTCGAGAGACAGCGTCGTTTCCAACATAAGCGTTGGTAACACACCCTTGTCGACATCCTATGTTTCGAGATGTCTCAGGCGAAACATTCATGTTTGAAAATGTGGACAGTTTGCGCCTGACTTGTTTGGATGATGTTCCTAGCAAGACGCGCCTTGTCCAGCCATTCCACATATTACAGATGGTTGATTAGATATGAGACACGCTCAAGCAGAACATCCAGCTCTCGCTTCGAGTTCTTCGAAGACGCTTCTAGTCAAAACGATGCTGCGAACACCTCTATGGCAGGAGGGTGCATCCGACGAAACGAGCATATGTTGTGTTACCCGCTAACGAACGACCCCATGCGATCAGCCACCCTATAGCGTTTGAGTTCCATACACACATATATACAATATTAAAGTTCAGTACGGAGCGTCCTTCCAGTTCTTCGAAGTCTTTTCCCGCCATCCGCCAGCCAACCAGCCTACCAGCCAACCAACCAATTAGCTTACCAGCCAGAAAGCCGGCCAGCAAGGCAACAGGCAAACCAATCAACCGGCTAGCCAACCAGCCAACCAGCTAGCCAGCGAGCCAGGTTATTGGCCAGTGAACCAACCACCCTGCGCATCAGCGCGCAAGCCAGCAAGTCCAACAACCAGCCAGCCGGCCGACTTTCCAGCCATGAAGCCAGGCAGCCTCAAAGCCAGCGAATCAGTGAGTCACCCAGTTGGCCAACCATTTTATGGACCAACCAACAAGCCATCAGCCAACCAGCCAAGCACGAGTCGCCAGCGCCACGGGCTCGCGGGGCGGTTCTTGGGCTGGATGGTGGGGGGGCACGTCGCGACAGGCGCCAGTCGAGGACTAGTCACTGGCGGGTCACACGCGGAAGGCAGGTTTGTCGAGGGTCGGGTCGCGAGGCAAGAATGCGCGTCGCCAGCCACGCCACCAGGGGAGGTGTAAAACCGTTCGGCCCTTTTGTGCTGCTTGGCTTTGAATTCTCAAGATGCTCATGTCAGACCTCTTCTGGGCTCTGGGAGTCGCTCTGTGAGGCCATCAGAGAGGATCCCATATGGGTCATCGAGTATCCTGGGGTCCTTCGAAAGGTCCTGAAGATCCAGGTTTCGGGTGTTCTTTCTAGGGTCCAGGGGCAGGGGGTTCTTTTCTTGAAGGCTGTGCGGTAGCGTTACTGTGAGCGAACTCGGGTAGGGTTTCGCGAGCCCCTTCAGGGTCTGCAGCGTCTGGTTCACGTGACTCTGCCCACTCCCTTTTCCTCGTCTTCTCTCTCTCTCTCTCGTGGTCGTTGCCATCCTTCCTCTCGAGGTTCACGCCTGCAAGAAGCTGACTAATGCGATCCATGCTTGCTTCATCGGGCTGCGTCCTGTAAGGGTGACATGCATGCGTTCGTACGCATGAGCCTTCTTCGAGCTGGCGTGCTCGGAGACACCAGTGATGGCTCAGGCGGTCCACCCCTGTCGCTTCAATTCATCCCCTCTGAAGTCTGAATTGCCTGGGCGTGTTTGCTTCTCCTTCGAGTTTTCCGTCCTTTTTCATTGCCTTCTTCCTGTTGTTGCCGTCATCTTGCTCCTTACCAACCACAGCTCAGATCAAGTGCCAGAGTTCCCCAGGACGACATCGACGATGAGGACGAGTCTGACCAAGAGGCTGGAGACGAGTCTGAGGTGCGGAGTGGTCTGTTCGGCTACGCCGTGGACGACGACGTTGAAGACTTCGTCGAGGACCTCCGCGGGCCGCCTTCTCTCTCAAGCGCTGCGTCAGCTGCCTGGCTTGTGGTGGGGAAGTGCCGGATGGAGTCGGCAAGGAGGGGGCTCCTCTCGCCCGCTGCAAAGTCGCACGCAGTCGTCAGGCAGGCGCCGTCGCGATTATCTTCTTCTCCTTCTGGCCTGGTGGGGGGGCGGGGTCCAGCGGTGCTCGGCAGGGGGGGCCGGCGCGGCCTCGTGGAAGCCCGTCGCCGCATGGACGCACGGGCGCACGGACCCACGTTGGCGCTGGTCAGGGCTGCGCAGAGTCCAGCCCGTCACTCCTAGAGGCGGGGCTGAATGGCAGATCGGGCCTGCCAAGCCAAAGGGGGCCCTGCTGTCCTGTGCATCGCGCATCGCGTCTTCTGCCTTCGTGGGGCAAGGGTACCCCTTTGTGTCCTGCAGGATGCTGGAGGCCACATACCACTGTCGTGGGAGTCTCGTGTCGCGTCGCGTGTCCTCTGCAAGCAGCTCCGCCTGTGCCCGCACGTGCGGTGGTCCTGGCCGTGTCGCCACCAGGATGCTGTGCGTTCGCGTCTCGTCTCGCGTGTGCGGAGTGGTGCGCGGATGCGGATGGGTTCTTGACCCGTCTTGGATGAGTCGTGCTAGACGTCCCGGCTGGCAGCGGGATTCGTTGTCCCGTCGTGGCGTCTCGACGGTCACCACCACGGTCTTCGACCGCCGTGGTGATGGTCTCGACATGCTCTTGGCACACGGCGGGGTCAACACCTTACACAGTCGGGCAGGGTCAGGGTCAGATCGAGCAGAGCTCGGCCACCATGCGGGGCACGGACTAACTGGGTGAACTCGAGTTGCAGAAGTGCGCGTTCGGGCTGCGCCGTGCGAGAGGAACATATTCAACATATGGAAAGTGGAGGGGGAGGCGAACTTCCAGAAGATATGCTAAACTATGTGGGATCCCAGGATTTGTGTATATTTATGTGTGTGTGTGTCCTAGGGCTCCTTCAGTTAGCGCAAATACTGAAAACGGGCTCCAGCTGGCCTCGCCGCGCTCAGGGCTCTCGTCGAGCGTGTCCGGGGGTTTCGGGGGAGGAGGTCACAATGCAAATTCTCGGCGATGGGGAGGACGGCGACAAGCGACGGAGGCGGGGTGGTAGATACACCGCTCTCTTGCTGCAAGGCCCGTCGCAAGTCGGCGCAGCATCTCCGACGGGAGGGCCCGCGGCCAGCGGTGCTCCAGCCGCATTGTCGGCCAGGTCCCCTTTCCACGGGTTGCCCCCCCCCCCCCCCCCGCTTTGTGGTCCCCACGGCTCGCGATTGGGGGTTTCGCTTCCGATGGGCCGACCAGGCTTTCCACCTCCGCTGCCATGGGCAGGAGAGGGAGGAGGAAAAGGAGGAGAAGGAGGAGGAGGAAGACCTCCCTATCCTCCCTTCTCCCTCGTCCTGCCTTTGGTGTAGTGGTGGTGGAACGTTGGTCCATCGGCTTCCTCGCGCGGCAGGGGCCGAGCGCCCCCCCCCGTCTCTGCCGCGCGTTGACCCCCAAGCTGTTGTACCCCATCGTTGCCCGTGTAAAGATGTTTACAGTCGGGCTTGATTAGTAGGTCAGCCCTGCCAAATCAAGTGTGCCCTTGAGTCCTGCGTGTCGTGACCCATGCCGTCTGCATTTCGACGGCGATGTGGTTGTCCCGTGTGTCCTCACCACTTGCACTCGACTGTAGGTAGGGCTTCTTCTGCTGCACGGTTTTCAAGTTGGTTTCACGGGCTCGCGATGGAGGCTTCGCTTCGGAGCTTGCCAGGGGGATTGGAAGCCGTGAGTCATTTGGAAGCCTTAATCGAACATTACGCTTCGCGTGCTGGAGAACATGTGACGCGGACTCTTTCTGAGCGTAGGCCAGTGTTCATGCTTGCGCTTGCCGAAAGAAGGGTACGCTAAACGTAATTGTTCCAGGAGTTTGCGCAATCCCATGGCAGACTATCACGTTTCGCTCAAGTGTCTTCCGCCTGTTTCTTTCGCATACCACCTCGGAGATGACTGTGAACATCCCGAGTGCAGCGCCAGGACAGCGACGTTCTGTCGAGCGGCGATGGCGCCAGGAGCGAGTCGGAGTGAGCCAGGGGGATATTGTGACGGCACGTCTTGTCCAGCGCCGACGTATCGTCATGTGCCTTTTTCCTTGAACCATGCCCGGTGACATTAGATTGCCCCAGCTATATCGTAAACAGTTGTTTCGGTTATTGGCTTTGGTTGACGCGTTGCGGTTCGGTTCGATCTCCCGTGCCATATTGGTTGCGATTGTCGACTCGTTGATGCAGCCCGAGGCACGTACAGCATGGGGTTGGTTTTGAGACACCATTGTGGAATCTGAGGAGATGGGCTATATACGATGTTGCGTGCGTCACGGAAACCAGTTTTGGTTGCACGTCAACGGCGTTGTTCAGTTTGCTTCTTGGACGGAGGGGCGTGCGATGATGATTTGGTAGAGGCAAATGAGGCGGAGGAGGAGCATGAGGAGGAGGAGGAGGATGAGGAGGACAACGGGTGTGACATGGGACCGAGTGAAGATGGCGGCACAGAAGCGGGCAATGTTGGATGGGGATGAAACAGAGGAGGAGCAGAGGGAGTCGGACGTATGCGCATGTGGATGAATAGTAGGAGCGAGAATCGGAGGAGGAGGAGGAGGAGGCGGCGGTGAAGAGGTGGCGAGGAGGGATGCCTGCAGAGGAGGAGGAGGAGGAGGAGGAGGAGGAGGCTGAGGAGGATGTGGAGGAAGCAAGGCAATTTATGTATCAAGGAGAAGACACAGGAAGAGGTGAGAAGACAGCGGAGGAACAGGACCATGCAAACGAACACGCAGCTGATGAGGCTGGGGGATGGTTGACTGAGTGATGGGAACGCAAGCTCGCCGACGCGCATGATAATGAGGACGACAGCATGCTCGAAGAGGAGGAGGGGGAAGGAGGGGAAGGACGGGGGGGGGCGAAGCGAAGGATGGGAGGGTGAGGGGAAAGGAGAGGGGGGTGAGGATTATGGGACGACGGGGGGAATGAGGAGGAGGAGGAGGAGGAGGAGGAGGAGGAGGAGGAGGAGGAGGAGGAGGAAGGGTTGGGTGTGAGAAGGAGCAGGAGGGAGGAAAGGGTGGAAAGGGTTCAAAGGGGGAGGAGCAGGAGGAGGGGAAGGGGTGGAAGAGGCAGACGATGAGGCAGACGGGCGGGCGATCAGGAGGAGCAGGAGGACAGCGAGGACAGGGAGGGATGGAAGGGTGGGACCAGGATGATGAGAAGAATTGTGCAGGAGGGCGCGGGGGCGGGGCGCATGACAGATTAGCGGGCAGAGCTGGAGGAAGGCTTCCAGCACTGCGGTGGATCCGTGTGTTGCACTTGGAGAGCAGGGGGGGGGGGGGCGGAGGGAGAGTCGGACAAGGCTCGGATAGGGGTAGAGTGTTCCAGAGAGTTCTGGAACGCTCCGAGAGCGGGTCGGAACTCGTCCAAGAGCGGACGACCTCATCTCTCGAGGCGTCCTGCAGACCTTCCTCCTCCTCCTCCTCCTCCTCCTCCTCCTCCTCCTCCTCCTCCTCCCCCTCCTCATTCTTCTTCCTCCCCTCCCTCCTCCTCCCCTCTCCCCTCCTCCTCCTCCTCCTCCGCGCTCGCGCCTCCGCAGCTGTCCTGGTCTCCCCGCGTGGGAGCAGCCTGAGTGGACCTCATGTGGGTCCATCGGGCCAGGCTTTGAGGCCTGGCGGTGGCTTACCTTGGGTAAGCTTCTGGAGCGCCTTGATGCCACTCTCTGTTGGTGGTGCACACTGCTCCCTGAATTTCTTGGCTGCACGGATGGTCCAGGCTCCACATCGGGAGCACCAACGGACACCATTCAATTTCTTGATGAACGGCCCGTGGGAAGGATGAAACCGATTTTGCGGCCCTGGGGGGACGCAGGGGGCCTTGAGCCACCTGGGTGTTCCCTTGATGACACTACCTTGCTTGCCGCACGCGAGGCAAGCAATCTGGAAATGAGGAGGGACAGGGGCAGCGGAGAGGGAGTGGGGCGTCCTAGACAGCTCGACCTGCAAAGCTGCTACACTGCGCTCCACCTTCACTTTCCTACGGTTCTCCTTGACATCCTCATCCTCCTCGAGGCCCAGTGGGTCTTTGTGACTCCAGTAGTGAGTCTGAACTGCTGCCAATCTGTCCCTGATGAGATCGGCGTGAATGTCGGTGCCTTGGAGGTGTCGAACGAGGGGCCCTGGGACTTGACGCCACTGTGCTGCTTCCGCAGCGAGAAAGTCGGCATGGCCATTGAGGTGTAGGGCCCATGGAGGCTCTCGAGCGGCTTCTTCCTCCGTGGGGTGGCTTTTTTACTTTGTAGAAGATCGTGACGTCCCGTCGGTTTTTCTGGCCTGGGTCCAGAACTTCTGCCACGTGTACTGGTTCTTGGGGTGCCGAAAGCGGGGGCCTCTGTTGAAGCCCTTGATCACATAGGCACAGTCAATCACGATAATGAGGCGGCCGCGGGTGGACTCCAGCAGCGCAATGACTGCCTCGAGCTCTGCCAGCGGTACCGTCTGCGGGCCGATGATCCCTCCCTGGATGGTTCCTTTCCAGGTGAGGTCGTGTGCCCACAGGGATACGCTCCAGCCACAGACTCTGATGCGCGGGTCCTGCGTATGAGGCTCTCCACTGCCGTCTGTGGCTGCCACTTGCCAGCCATCGAACTGATAGACTGCATGCTGTTCAAATACTCCTTTTCGGACTGTGTCCTGATCTAGCCCCAGAATGTGCCCATGGACTTGGCGGATGATCGTGGCGGGGATGATTCCTCGGAGCCAGAGACTGGGTTCCGTTGGGGACTCTGCCACTGCCCGATCTATGGAGCCCTGGGTCCGACTGATGGCGGGGATGAGGCTTCCCAATTCAGGACATGTCCAAAATTTGTGTAAATCATCTCCGTGTTCTTGCCCACAGAGGGGACAGTCTGCGTCATCCTGCTGGCCGCTCTCAAACCTGCGGTGGGCGCTCCAGCACCTCGAGCAGGAAACGGCCTCTAAAGCTGCTGGGAAAGTTGCTTCTCGCTGGAGTTCCTCCTGGGCCTGGACTTGTTGGGCTCGGGGGAGGGGGTGCTCGATAAGCTGCTTCTCCCGTTTCTTGATGGCGGCCCGCTTTCTGGCAGGGTAGAGCCGCAGGGAGTACACGTCCCCCCCTCCTGGAGGCCTCCAGAGTTATGACTGAGAGGGTAGGTAGCTTTCCACACATGCATGTTCAAGAGGAACTCCAAGTGAAAAATGAAAACCTTCTGGCGGTCCCAGCTCAGCGGCTCTCCTCCTCCTCCTCCTCCTCCTCCTCCTCCTCCTCCTCCTCCTCCCCCTCCTCCTCCTCCTCCTCCTCCTCCCCTCCTCCTCCTCCCCTCTCCCTCCTCCTCCCCCTCCTCCTCCTCCTCCTCCTCCTCCTCCTCCTCCTCCTCCTCCTCCTCCTCCAGTCTCTGAGAGATCCCCAAGTCATTCCCACCCACATTTGTCCTCATCCTTCACATTCGTCTTAGCTAGGGGGAGACGGCAGACGAGAATGCTGACACGGGAAGGGGGAAGCGACAGGTTGACTTGGGCTGGAGTGTATAAGGCTGCTCGCCAGAGGTTTAGTTGTGCCCGGCCCGAGTGGGCGCGCTCCATCTTATGTGTGCCCTACTTGTTTCACCATGTCGTTGGAGACATCCGTCCAGTGGCATTGCTTGCTTCACGCCAGTCTTCAGATCAGACTGGTTCATGTTGCCCATGTAGTCTCCTACTAGGGCAGTGCATATGGCGATGTCGGGGACATGTTCTCTGCTGGTACTTGGATGTCAGGTGCGCAGGTCGGTATCAAACCTTACTCGCGCGCCTGTCCTTCCACTTGAGTGCTTGGGTCGCATTAGTGTTGCTCCCCACACAGCAGGTTGCTTTGTTCACAGATTTGTTCAGAGGTTCCCGACCCGCCTTCTTCGCCCTGCATGCCGCGGCTGCCAGGCCCCGATCGTCTGGGTGGTCCCTGGGTGTCCCGCCTCGCACCGCGGCCCCCAGGAGTTTCCCCAGAACTTTCCTGCCGTCCTCCGCTGTCGCCGATCGCCTTCGCCCTCCCAGCCCCCGCTGCCCCTCTTCCACCGCCGCCGGCCTCCCCCGCTGACCCCTGCCTACGGCGGCCCCACCCACCCCGGCGCTCCCTCCCGCCGCCGCAGGCTTTTCTCTCGCAAGGCCTCTCGTCCACGACCATTCCGCCCCTGGCGCCTCCTCGAGCCGTTGCTGGCTTCCCTCGTCTTCGGTGGCAAATCATGGGAGTTTGGTATACCTTCTGAATGCCGTCTTTAGCGTCGACCATCGTCGATTAGCGTTTGGGGGTCGACAAGGTAGCGCCGATCTAGCGTCGATTAGTGAAGATTTAGCGTCGATGAGCGTCGATTTAGCGTCGATTCGCGTCAATGTAGCGTCGATTAGCGTCGATTCGCAGGAGCCGACAAGATGGTATGGGAGGCTTCCAGGAGTTGCCACCGAACTCGTCGGCCTAGTCCACGACCGTCCTTCCCTCGACGCTCCTTTCTGCTGCCGCTGGCTTCCCCCGCTGATTTTGGCCACGACCCTCCCGCTTTCGGTGCTCCATTCTGCTGCCGCCCGCTTCCCTCGCCGACCTGGCCCGCCATCGCGCTTCCCTCCGCGTGCCCCCGGTGCTTCCCTCCGCTGCCGTCAACTCTTGACGCTTCGCGTGTGTCCCCGCCAACCCATCCAGGGACGAATCTGGGTGAGCTGCCCTGACCAGGGAAGGCTTCAGGGCACGCAGGTGAGAAAGGGAGGGAAGCCATCCTATCCGAATGCAGCGGAACGCGCTCCCATCCAACTTTTGGGTGGGCGCACCATGGGAGGAGGGACGAGAAAGAAGGTCGACTGGGAGGAGGAGGATGAGGAGGAGGAGGAGGAGGAGGGGGAGGAGGAGGAGGAGGAGGAGGAGGAGAAGAAGGAGGAGGAGGAGGTCGAGGAGGGGGAGGAGGAGGAGGAGGAGGGAGGAGGAGGAGGAGGAGGAGAAGGAGGAGGAGGAGGAGGTGGAGGAAGGTCGATAAAGAGAAGGATGAGGAGGAGGAGGAGGAGGAGGAGGAGG